TAATCATAGTGAATAAGGCTCTTAATGCACTGTTGGATCTTACTGGCTAGCATCTTGTCGGGTATTTTGACTTCCATGTTTGTCAGGGATATTGGCTCATGGTTCTCTCTCTTTTTTTTTTTTTTTTGGAGTTTCTTCATCTGGTTTTAGTATCAGGGTAATGCTGGCTTCATAGAATGAATTTGGAAGTTTTCTTTCCTCTTCTATTTTTTGGAATACTTTGAGAAGAATAAATATTAACTCTTCTTTAAATATTTGTTGAATTCATCTGTAAAGACATCTAATCCTGGACTTTTGATTGTTGGAAGTTTTTTGATTACTGATTCAATTTCATTACTAGTAATTAGTCTGTTCAAATTTTCTATTTCCTCCTGACTTAGTTTTGGAAGATTGGATGTTTCTAGGAATTTATCCATTTTTTTTCTAGGTTGTTCAATTTGTGGGCATATAATTTTTCACACTATTCTCATAATCCTTTGTATTTCTGTAGTGTTTGTTATGTCTCTTCCTTAATTTCTGATTTTATTTGAGCCCTCTCTTTTTTTCTTGATGAGTCTGGCTAAAAATTTATCAATTTTGTTTATCCTTCTAAAGAATTAGATCTTGGTTTTAATGATTATTTCTAATTTTTAGTCTCTTTCATTTATTTCTACTCTGATATTTATTATTTCATTCCTACTTAACTTTGGGCTTTGTTCTTTTTCTAGTTCCTTCAGGTGTAATGTTAGATCATTTACTTGAGATTATCCTTGTTTCTTGATGTAGCCTTATATTGCTATAAACTTAGAACTGCTATTGTTGTATCTCAAAGATTTTAGACTGTTAAATTTCCATTTTCATTTGTTGCCATGTATTGTTTTACTTCTTTGATTTCTCTGTTGACAAATTGGTTAAGTAGCATGTTTTTAGCATTCATGTTTTTTTTTCCATTTTTGTCAATTGTAATTAATTTCTACTTTCATACTATTTTGGTTTGAAAAGATAATAATGATATCAATCTTAAATTTATTGAGACTTGTTTTGTGGCCTACCGTGTTATCTATCTGTCCTGGAAAATATTCCATGTGCACTTAAAAAAAAGTGTATTCTGCTGTTTTGAGATGGAATTTTGGGCATATATCTGTTAAATTCATCTGGGTCTAATGGGTTCTTCAAAGCCACTCTGTCCTTTGATTTGCTATCTGGATGATTTATTTATTGGTGTAAGTGGGCTGTTGAAGTCCCCTTCTATTATTGAATTACTGTTAATTTCATGACTGTTAATGTTTGCTTTCTGTATTTCCATGCTCCTGTGTTGGGTGCATGGATATTTACAAGTGTTATATCTTCTTGTTGGATTGATCCTTTTGTCTTTATGTAATGCCCTCCTTTGACTCTTGCTGTATAGTCTTTGTTTAAAAGTACATTCCATCTGATATAAGTATTGCTACTCTAGCTTTCTTTTTGCTTCCAATTGCATAGAATATCTTTTCCATCCCTTCTCTTTCAGTCTTTATGTGTCTTTAGGTCTGAAGTGAGTTTCTTGCAGGCAGCATATAGATGGGTTCTTTTTTTATTTTTTAATCCCTTGAGTCATCTTGTATCATTTCACTGGAGCATTTAGTCCATTTACTTTTAAAGGACTTATTGATAGGTATGTATTTACTGCCAATTTGTTGTTTTCTGGTTGTTTTTGTAGTTCTTCTTTGTTCCTTTCTTCTTTTGCTCTCTGTGGTTCAATGGCTTTCTTTACTGTTATGCTTGAATTTCTTTTTTTTTTATGTATATCTTATAGGTTTTGATTTGTGGTTACCATTGGGTTCATATATATATAT